CCTATCATTTTTGAATTACCCAACTCCTATCAGAACAATGAGAAAAGACTAAATAGTGGGTCCCGAAAAACTTTTCTTGGGTTGGGTCTTCAACTTTCTATACATTGCTCTGGCTGGCCATTTTCTGTGGAATATTTTTCTATGAACAAACTACTCTGAAATAAAATAGCCTGGATACTCACAATAATACAGCCCTCTATCCGCATATTCACTTGCTCATAGAGCCACACCTGAATCCGGGATCTCTGAAATAGTCATAATAATAGAAATGTTAAACAAAAGTAAGCAAATCCCAATCACTTGATCTAACAGAGAGAAATAAAGCTCCTAAAAACACTAATAAATATAAGCCAAGAGTTTTAACTAATTAATTAGCCCATATCTAAAAAATGTTAGCCAAAACTGTTACTTGCTATGAAACACTTCCATTTAATAAATGCCATACTGGGACTATCAAAGCTAATAATTTTCCTGTGATCTTGAAGCTCAATCATATTTCTTACTGCTTCTAGTCTGAACACATTTAGAATGAAAACTGGTGACACTATAGCACAAAGCTGTAATTTCTAAAGACCATGGCTTCTTATCTGCTACAGCAAAATCCAGCTCCAAAACAAAGCTTCAGGTTCTCAGTTTTCCGTGACACATACCTAACAACTTGGGGACGGACACTCAATTCTGATCACTACAAATTACAATGGCTTGAAATTAATCTGTTTTTCAAATCTGTTGTTTGTCACATCCTAAAATTTACGTTGCTAAAAATCCCTCCAAAGGAAAGCAGCTGCCTTTTAACTCGTCTGAATCTATCCCTTCCCTCTCCTTTTTAGTCTACTTTTTTCCCACAGGTACTAAACACGCCACCCTATGACTTGGTTTCAGTTGACTGAGTTTTTCTTCCAATGTTTCACTGCAGAGGGTAGGAAGGAGTAAGGTTCCAATGTTCCGGCCATAATCACTACCAACAAAAGCAGCAGTGCCCAAATACCACTGACTGGCTGCCAATACGTACTTTTTGTAATTAGTAATTTTGATCTTGCGAAGTAACGATGACATAATTCCTTGCATGCATGGAGTTGGCATCGATCCGCACCATTTTATTACATGAGAGCTTTCCCTGTACCCCCTCCCCTCAATTATCCCTCTAATCTCCAGAATTTCAACTGTTTTTCAACTCTAGAGCACAGCAATCAGGGAAGTTGACACAAACAACCAAATAAATCCACCTTTCACTTAAAAAGTAGTTAAGAAACAACAAACAACTTACGTACATTTTGCAGGTATCTGAAGATGAGGTTCTGCATCACAGTGGATAAAGGAAAAAACGCACAAGTGGCATAGACTCTGCTCCCTGAAACTGGTCGACCCTGCCCCCATCTTACTTTTGTTTTCCGAACGCGAGATCTGGTGCCTACGCCACAAAAACTGCCCAACTTGGGCATTCATTAGGGATCCCCTGAAGACTCTGAAGGAACGCCCTTCCCACTCTCTTATGTCTATTTTGGACGACATCTTCCTCCTCCCCGAGGCCGTTAACTCCCGCTTTCACTCAGTACGGACTTAAAAGTTGCCTCCCACGCTCCGCTCACCTCGCCTTTCCTGCGTTCCCCACCGCAGGGGTCTGCCCAAGCCCACCTCCCTCCCAACGCCGCCGGTTCTTCAACTACCCGCGCTCTCTCCGCCTCGATCGCCCCGGGGGCTCACGGGATGCGGGCCTGCACTCCGCTTCCTCAGGCCTGCTCTCTGCCGGCGCCTTCGCCCCCCGTTTTCTGGCCCGAACCTCCTAGTCCTGACAGCCAGCGTAGGATACGATCGGTTGTACCATCACCTTCTGCACTTTCTGGCCCTGGCCACGGTACGCCATGGTGGAATCTCACAAAGACCACCCTGACCCACAAGCTACTTTAGAAAGCAACTTCCGGAATTAGGAGCCGGAAGCGAATGCCGGGAACGTGGTCAGGCCGCAACCTTGAAGGCTCCTGGGAAATGCCTCTCTAGCCACGGAGTCGCTTTTCTCTGTGCCCCACAGCTTCCGGGGGAGGTCAAACTGAGAGGAGTGCACTTCCGAACCAGGGTCGGTCCTACAGCGCCACCTGGAGGGAGGCGGGAGGAGGCGTAGAGCGGCTTCGTGGTTATGGCTGCCGTGGAGGGAGATTGTCGTGCTGTTGCATCTCCTTTTGCTCAGTTAGCTCTAAAAGCCAAAATCCTCCCATTGCGTATCTCTGTCTGTAAAATGGGTTAATTCGGTGCTTTTCCTAAAGTCTATTTTGCTGGAATTTAGGCCTGATGGCAGCATTGCGGTGGAAAGGGTAGGGCTGGCAAGAAGCCCAAACTCCAGGCCTCCCCACCTGGGAGACTCAGCCACCCGGAGTCCCAATTCCAAAGCCGGACGCTGTGGTTTGCTCCAGTAACCAACCCAACTCTCGTCAGCTTAGTGGGGACTTATTGTGTGTGTGTGCAATTTTTAAAGTTTTTACGTTTTTAATTTAATTTTTTAATTAGGGAGTTACTGTTAAGGTAGCAACCGAGGATGGAGATTTAAGGTGAAGGAGCTGAGATCCGTTTGCTGGGCCCAGATCTAACTCACTCAGAGTTGTGTGACCAAGGATAAGTTACTTAGGCTAGCCATGTCTCAGCCTAGTTGTTTCCAAAATGGAGATTAAAACGTACCTTCCTCAGGGGTCAGTGAAGTAATAGTACGTATTGTACACATTAAGGCCTCAGTCAGTGTTAGAACCGATCCTCTGGGTGACACGGCTAGTAAAAGGGGCTGACCCCAAAGCCTGTGCAGCTTTCCGTTATCTCATGGCTTATGGTCTGGCAGGACTTTTTTAAAATTGGAATACCCATTTTACAGATGAGGAAACTGAAGCTCAGAGTTAAAGGGACGGTGCCTAAGGGAACACCACTTAGAGCAAATGGCAGAATCAAAATTGCTTGACTGAGGCCTTCTGTGGAGATAATAAAGGTATTTATTATACTCAATACCTCATAAAGATATTGAGATGAAAGTAATTTTAAACTACAAAAAGGTAGAAAATGCATGGGATAACTATTTCTTAAAGAAAAAAATTCCCCACCACAAAGCTAACACTGGTGTACCCATCCCGTCTCGCATGCAGAGTTGCTTAGCTACTTTTTGCATTTTCCTGTTTATGAAGTCATGATTCCTAAACTTTGCGAACTGATTTCTGTAACCAATCATTTGACTGATAATATACATCATCACAAGTGCTATGTGATTTCCTTATTTTTTAAAAATGATTTTGTGTTTTTATATTTAAAACTTTGATCCTTCTGGAATTTATCCTAGTATATTCTCGGGCTGGTACATCTTTATAAATTCTCGGTGGCTACCCAGTTTTCCATCAGCATTTTTCAAAAAAATAATCCATTCTTCACCCATTTAATTTAAAATGCCACCTTTATAATATATCAAGTGTGTGTGTGTGTATATAGTTTATATTCTGTTCAATTGATTTTTGAGTCTATTTATGGACGAGTATCATAGTTATATGTAACGTAGCTTTATAATGGTTTCTTATTTGGTAGGACTAGACTACAAGTAGGTAGAATTTTTCTAGCTATTCTTGTTTATTTTTCACAAAAATTTTAGAATCAGCTTATTTAATTATAAAAATATCCTTTTGGAATTCTTTGTGATTACATTAAACTCTAGTATGGCTTAGAATTAATTTTTTAATCCCAATACATAATGTTTTCCAGATAGTTCAAAATTTCCTTTGAGTCTTGCAGAAGTCTTTAGTTTTCCTCATATAGACCTTATGAATTTCTTTTCGTTTTTCTTTTAAGTTCATGGAAAGATTCATATTATCTTTTTTTTTTTTTTTTTTTGGTGTTTGGCTGCTATGGGTATTCAAAACCCTTGACCTTGGTGTAATCTTACGAATTCTTAAGCTTAATCCTAGATATTGCATCTCTCTTGCTCTTAAAAATTGTATTTTCCTCCATTGTATGTTTATTGAGAAAATAGAAAAATTGAATGAGGCTTCCCTCGCCTCAGGGCCAGTTGGGGGTGGTTCAGCGCATTCTCTGTAATCAAATTGGTGGGGGGAGTTACTGTGCATGCACTGGCACCTCGGCTTGGCTGGCACTGACTGCCTCAGGAGGACGCCGCTCCGCACAGCCATGCTTTCAAACCTATGACTTCCAAGGACCTGTTTGCTGGTTACCTAGCTCACAGACTTGCGTGTGAGGGGTTTGGTGACCCAGCCTGGCATGTGAGGGATCTGGGGACCCAGCCTGGTATGTGAGGGGTCTGTGACCCAGTCTGTGAATGGGCTTAAGGGGTCTGTGAGCTCCAGACCCAGCAACTGGTGTGGTCATGTAGCTAGACAATTGGTGTCAGGAACAGGATTAAGAGCTTGTTGGGAAAATAGAATAGTTTGGTCAGGGCCCTCGCCTGGGATCCAGTTTGGTGTGGTTCAGCATCCTTTGTAAGCAAATTGTGTGTGTGTGTGTGTGTGTGTGTGTGTGTGTGTAGTTAGTGCACATGCGCACCAATGTGTCTTTTTAGTTTTGTTGCTGTTCTTGAGTTCTTTGGAGAACAAGAGAGAAGAGAGGAGTTTCAGTGAAGCAGGCGGGCAAGCATCTACCTCAGTCATCTGCCCTGCAAGGCCATGCTTTCCAACCTGTAGCTTCCAAGTACCTTTTGGCCGGTAACTGAGCTCATAGACCTGCGTGAAGGGGTCTGGTGACCCAGCCTGGTGTATGTGGGGTCTGGGGACCCAGCCTGGCATATGAAGGGTTTGTGACCCAGTCTGTGAATGGGCTTGAGGGATCTGGAAGCTCCAGACCCAGTCCTAGCTTGACAATCTGCCCAGTCAGTACAGGATTACTGGCAGGTAAAAGAGACCAACAACTGTCGTGGTCGCCTAGCTTTACAATTGGTGTCACAAACAGGATTAAGAGCACTACGATTGGCGATGTCGACAGGATTCCAGACATGAGCCATGGCTCCACAATTGGCATCGTCGGCAGGATTATGTCATGATTGGCATAGTCTGCAACAGGATTCTGAGCAGGTACAGGAACCAAAAGCCCTTGGAAGAGGGAGGAAATGTGGCTACTTGTGAATATGCTGTGCCCTATGGCCACCTTCCTGTTGACCGCAGCCTGGCTGCTGCTCACTACACTGCAAACTGATCGAGATTTGCAGCAGAACAAAGTTGTTGAAAGCACGGAAAAATGTCCTGAAGGATGATGTGCAGCGACTGGCCACTCCTACCTCTCACACCAGGGAAGACGACCAACCCAGTGGTGATTTGGGGAAACGATGTGTCTCCAGGCACGACCTGTTAACAGTCCATGAGAAAATGAGACAGTAAAGCAGCAGAAACAGGGAGATCTAGGGATGGATGGTGTGATGTGCTTTAGAGACTATGTAGAAAACTCATGTTGCATTTCTCTGAAGGCAAATGGCTTGGAGGGTGCTACTTAAACCCGATGGCTGGCCGGGTGTCATAAAACCCAAGAAAAGAGTGCCACATACAGATGGGCAGATGACGCAAGAACAGGTGCCCCTGCAGAATTTCAAGTATGTTTTCACCTGGTGAAAAGGTGGACAAGTTAGTCTCAGTTACTATGTGCCTGTCTCAGTGGCAGCGGTAACAGGATAGCTGCAGATACGCAGAGGCAGGGCAACCACTCCTTGATGGACTGGGAAAATGCAGCTGTTTGAACTGTGGGCGAATGCTGCAAAAAACTGCCTGAGATGAGTAGCCTGTGTAAGGTGAGCTGATTAAGTATTATTAAATCACTATGAATGTCTTAAAAAAAAAAAAAGTAGGAGAAAAATGCAAGAGTGAAGCAGATAAACTGTTTGCTAAAGACATTATCTCGGTGGTGCGGCAGCCAGATGCTAAGAGCCAAGACAATGGGGAAAAAAGCCTTAAACGCATTTGAGAAGTCTGGATAGGTGCCGCACCCACCAGGGGCCCTGAGAGCTTTTGAGAAGTTTGGGAGAGCGCCCCTCCCATACTAGGAGAACTGAGTTTGTCTCAGAGGGCGGACCTGAGGTGTCATAGCCCTTGGCAAACTGCTCCCTGCATCCCAGCCACTCTGGGAGCAATACTGCCTCAGCACCTCAGAAGAAAAAACAAGCCAAAAACCTTGGTGGTGTTCATGTTGTGTTAAGTTTGCAGACCAGCAGTATGTGAGAGCATTGGAAGCATGGCAGCCTCCACCTAGATTTCGGAAGATGTATGAATAAGCTGGGGGACTCAGGCAGAGACCTGCTGCAGGGGTGGAGCCACTGTGGAGGTCAACTACGGAGCAATGTGGAGGAGAAAGGTGGGGTTGGAACCCCCACTGAGGAAATGTCTAGTGGAGCCAGGATAGTGAGACTGCCACCAGGAGCCCAGAACCATGGGGCTGCTGGCAGTGTGCAGCACTGGCCTGGAAAAGCCACAGCCACCAGGCAGCTCAATTGGCTGCACTTGGCAAAGTGTAAGAGTGATGCTGCCCAATGCTTTAGGGGTCCAGTGTCCCAGTGTGCTTAATGTTTGCCCTGTTTGGTTTTTGGATTTTTTGGGGGACTGTTTTTCATTTCTATTCCTCCCTACTGGAATGGAATGTGTAATATGTAAATGTAAGCGTCATCAAACCCAATGGCATGTAAGAATATACACTTTCTTTGTTAAATCTGAACACAGACTTTGAGACTACAGTAGGGGAATAAAGCAGTGATCTCTCAATGTAGTGTAGGATTTAGTGTCAAAACGGACATGTGAATTAAAAGTTACATATGTAACCAATAAATGTGAGCTAGTTTAAAATGCTGTTACCTATTAAGCAGTTACAACTGGAGACCATGTATTTCCTGTTGCTAAACTGCCAAATTCAAAGCAAACTATTTTAAAGAATTGCAGGATCAGTCTGGTAAAATGAAAACACAGTTTTAGAAAATGATCATAGAACTTTGACCAATATAGATCAAGCTTTGTTTCTGCAACTGTAATTATTAAACATCAGTCTTAACTTCTACAGTAGTTTCAAAGACTGGTCGAGATGAAAATACACTACGTTCTGGCCATATGAGAGAAAGGATCAATTGGGAATTAAAGTTAAGGCCAGAACTTTAAGCATCACTCATCTTGAGATAAAATATATGAATGGTAAATCTATCTTGATACTTCTGGCTATGGTCAAACTGCAACATTTAAGCCCTTTTCTTACTGTTATATTTGAAAACCATCATCACTCAAAACAAAAGACTTTTGCTTTTTGTGAAAAGATGATACAACGTGTTGGGGCTACTTTTATACTATTATAGGAAAAATCTGTTCTTTGGTAGCTAACATCAAAAAATTGGCACACATACTGAAAAAACCTGAACTCTCCTGAATTAAATTTTTAATTTGCTACACCTTCATGCTTGAAGATTCTAAATCATTGAATCTAAGATCACTTTTAAACTCTCCTCCATTCTTTTAAAAAATTAAATGGCATCACTTAAGTTACAGTGATAAGAACTAAATACCAGTGTCAGAAAAAAAAAAAAATCATCACGTCTTCTTTCCTAAAACATATGCAGCTAAAAGTGAGCACACTTGTAGGTTTGGCAATATGTCCTTGTGAAAGGCTTCTGAAACCAAGTAATACCTGTGAAATTGAAGCATTTCCACAAAAGACCAACGTCATTTTGATTGGGGCCTCTTATCAAGGTGGATCCTAGGCTGAAATGATGTAAGACTACTTAACTCACAACATTAAGACTTTCCTACATCAGTTTTATTTAAAACACAAATAAGTATTTCTCTTTGTGTAATGGCAAATGGTTCAAATAATGCTGAACATGAATCATTGACTAATACAAGTGCTTTAAATATGAAACAAAATTATTTTTAAAAATGCAAAAGAATAAAGGTTATATACAAAATGGACCTGGAATCTATAAGCTGATTCCAAAAATGAAATGAGTAGAAAATCTGTGGTGAAACCAGAACATTCCACCCCTGCTTTGGAGAAGGGCTATCATACAACATTCAGTCGGCTGAAGATGGATTGGTAGAGGTGTGTCTATACATAAATTTCAAGTCATTTTGCTTGTGCAGAATCATCCAGGTCTTCCCAAGACCGAATGGGCAGTCCTGTGGCTTTCTTCCTTTTCCATATTCCCAACAAGGCTACATGAAGTTCAACTCTTGATGAGCCGCTTACAACAGCAGTTCCTTAGGAGCCAACACGACAGGTGGGTCAGATTTCCCGATGAGAAACAAAACTGGCCACCTACAGCAAAATATCAAAATGGACAAATACTCCTTTCCTCCTCCTTCCAATTATGTACAATTTTGTCTCCTTCTAAGACTATTATCCCCATCATATTTGCTCTTTCACACGTCTAAACCTTGAGGTGATATGAAGGAGACCAACATCAAGAAAACAAAATTTCAATTCAGAAATGAAGAAAACTGGAAGGTATACAATACACCTCCAGAGTATCTCAAAATCCCTGCTACAGTACAATTCAGTGTACTGCTATGGTCCATAGATAAATATTGGCAGCTTGAGTGAGTTCATTTTTTTCTCTCAGGTGGCTAAAAAAGGGCACCAAATAAATACAAGAGGAGTTTGCTGGGAGAGTTAGAAATAACAAATTAACCAATTTTTGTCCCTGTGATGTCAGTGCCAGTAGGAGGCAAGTATTAAGAGAAGGGACAACTTTTAAAGAATTCCTCTAATCATTTTGCCATCTCTTATAAAGAATCCAGGGAATCCCAGAAATAGAAAATTAGTTTCAGGGGATCCCTGAGGCACTTTAAAGCCTTAAAAAAATTACAGTAATAATAAATTAGATATTGCTCTTCAGAGGCTTGCAGAACAGCAGAAGCATCAAAATCAGGTCCAAAGAGTTATGTCCATGTTACAGGCCTCCTGAGCTGCTCAGCCCTCATTAAAGCTTAGGTGAATCTCCAAATACCTTTTAAAAAGACATACAATTTAACACAGACTGAGTGGATTTTTTTTTTCGTTTAGTGGTAGCATGAAATTTGGTCCTTAATGGTAGCAGCTGTCTTCATCCATTTCCAACTCAGGTAATATAAGTACATCAAGACAACACATAAAAGAAAGAATACAACAAAGGGGGAAAAAGTCAAAACTGACAAACACCTCAAGGAGTCATTAAGTTCTCTTGCACTTTCACTTTATCTCCCTCTTAGTCTCTATTTTGTGGAGAGAAAGGTACAACAGAAATTTTTTCTGAAAGATGCTTAAACAATGGCACCAAGTGGACAAAATGGTTATCAAGTGACTAAAAATCTGACTCCAAGGAATCCAGGACATATACAGATAATTCAGAGGTATACTTCCGATTTGGGGCAAATTCTAGACTAAAGAAATGATCAGCTCAGGTAAATGTTATAATAGATGAAACTAAGTCCAGTTTTTTGGTGAGTTTTTGTTTGTTTTTAAGTGTTCTCACTACCACCTTCAGCTATCAATCATTTCTGATAGCTCAAGCAGAAGGTCATCTTCATCCTTCCCAGGATCCAGGTCAATCTCAGCTTCTAATTTGCCTCCTGAAATCTCCCATATTAGTTTCTCAAAATCATCCTCCACAGAGAGAGGGGGCTTTCCTGTTGAGGCAGTACTGAGTCGGCGAGTTTTTGTGGCCACTTGAGATGAGGAAGGGCCAGATACCTCCGAAGGTGAGAGATCTGAAGGGAACTGAGTTGCAGGCAGCACAAGACTGTAAGAAAAAAAGATTATTAGAAAACTGCCCCTTTTCAATAGTTGGCTGAACCACCTAGTCCCAACACAAAGAGTGAGCTCAACCGGTTAGAGTGTGCCCAAACCCCAAGATCAAAGGTTTACTTCCCTGTACTGGCCAGTTGCCAAAAAAAGAAAAAAAATAGAATTTGGCCAAGTGTTAATTAACATCTTTTAGATATAGGCAAAATATAAACAACAGCATTAAAGGAGTTTCAACGACAACCCAGAATTTCATGCTTTCTTGCAATTAATTTGAAGTTCAGCAGATTTATTAGATATGGCTAAACTGTAAATGTTTAAAGTTATTTATCTGTGTTATTCTCTAGAGAGCATAAACAGTAATAGTGGCCTAAAGTTTGGTTAAAAAGAATTACAAGGTATTACCTGTCTCTAGGTTTTTCTGTCTCAGGCACAGTGACTGATTTGTCCTCAGACAGGAGTGGGACAACAGCCTACAAAAAGAAGAGTACGGTAATTCAGTGGGAGAATAAGCCTTTTTATTTGAGCATATTCATTTTCGTTTGCTGCTTTCTTAAAATCATGGCCAACATTCTTTAAACCTGGGAATCTAATAATCAATAACCTAAAAGTTGGATGTACAAATAAGCAAAATATTTTGCCACCCCAAAATAAACTTTCAAAAAATCCTGTCCTGATATTTCACAAGTGTCTACTGTAAATGTGAAATATAGTAACAATCTAAACAACTAAAATACTTAGTAAACTGCAACAAGTATTACACACAGATATAGATAGAGAGCTAATAGAGACTTACTCTTTCCTTCTACCACAGAGAGACTAAAGCACCATGGAAATAGAGCTACTTCTTACCACAGCTGCTTTTTTGGCTGGGCTTTCCTGCAGGACACTGCTGGAGCTGAGTGGCTTCACAGCTGCAATGACAGCAGGATGCATCTCCGCTGCCTTACGTTTGGTGGCCAATTTGGGGGATGAGACAACTTTAACCACAGATGGCTTCACATTCACTTTGGGTTTAGCTACAAGGGACAGAAAATATCTTATTAACAGCTAGAATAATCTCTCTTTTACATGGAGAAAACTCAGAATATCAAAATTCCTTCAGTACTAGAAATACCACAAAAAATAAAAAACTAACAAATAAATACAGACTGAAAATGATCCAGAGGCAATTTGTGTTACAGGTGGTCATCACATAGATATACATGCTCAAATAACCCCTTTCCATGGCTCTTGAATTTGTTTCTGTTCTATTCTCTGGTGTTTCTCTTCTTCAAAATAAGAGGAAAGATGTACCACAAAACTTTTTAAACAGTAATCTTAAATTCCGAGGAAGAAATTCATCTAGTTTTGTTTCTGTATAATAATATCAGAAATATTACTATACAGTACTATGCCTATACTCAAGGCAAATGAAATGCAACCCAACTGTTGCCAGGCAGTTACTGAAACTTGATAATTTTGATATCCCACAGCAAGATATACTATAAAAAACACTCACCTTTACCCCTTTTTTCCAAGGTCTGCGCTGCACATTTCACATTCAATAGTGAGTCCCCAATCCCTGAGGTTTCTACCTCTGCCTTCTGGGATGACTTTGTGGGAAGCCGCTTGGTCAAGTACTGTGTGATGCCTGGCACAGCAGTGAGTGCTGGTTTCTCGGCCACCTGGGTATTGTAAAAGGCTACATCTCCCTGAAGGGGTGTCAAGACTGATTTTTCCTTCTGTGAGGCTCCCTTCTCCTGCTGTTTCTGCATGTGCTTCTCTCTCATGGTCTCACATCTCTTGACTTGGATTTTATTGATGTCAACTGCTATGGTCTCACCTGAAGCCTGTGGAAAAATTTACGTGACAGAATTAAAATCTAACACCTCTAATAACCTATGCATATGTGATGATTATTATTTATAAAGTACTGGGTTACCATCTAAGTTAAGCAGTTTGACATGATCCAGAACCTGGGAAAAAAGTTCTATACTTGATATTAAATAGACAACACCCTGCTAAAGATTAAAGAGTAGAATGAAAGATGTGTGAAACAATAAAATACCCAGATTCTATAGGCTAGAAAACCATGACCCTAAGTCAAATACTAATGACTTCTAAACCTTCAGACACTTGCACAAAGATTTATATACAGAGATATTATCTTATTTATTATTGTGTAAAACAAAATCTGAAGTCTAGAAACAGACTTTATTAACGCTCTCTGTTTTCATTGAGGGAAAACATGTTATTGTACTTGAAGTTCATCTCTTAATTATTCACATAACATACTTATATAATAAAATATTATGTGGCCAGTATTATTGTGTAAAACAAAATCTGAAGTCTAGAAACAGACTTTATTAACGCTCTCTGTTTTCACTGAGGGAAAACATGTTATTGTACTTGAAGTTCATCTCTTAATTATTCACATAACATACTTATATAATAAAATATTATGTGGCCAGTAAAAAACAAACATCTTAAAGAATTATTAATATGGTAAAGTTAAAGCAGGCTGCAAAATGATATACTAAAGAGTTCTCAATTATATTCTAAACATGAATTAAACAATAAACAAGTTCATATGCATACATATATAAACAAGAGGCTTGAAGTAAATCCATGAAAAAACTAATGGTGGTTACATCTCAGTTGCAGAATTATAGGGTTTGTTAGTGCTTTTAAAAAAATAAAAATTCCCAAGTTTTGAAAAAACACAGCATAACTCTCAAAGGCAGGGGAAATAACTCAGTTTAAAAATATTAATGGCCAATTAAAAAATATTTTTTTTTTTTACTATAAGTGAAAAATAAAAAGCACATTTTACCATAAACTTAGCCTTTGTTTGTCATAAATGAAACTATACAATGATCATCAATAAACTCACCTCTTTAGTCTCTGTTCTAGTAACAGTGCTCTGAGAAGCAACTTCACTTCCTTCCTGAAGTTTCTTCTCTTCTTTTGCACCTATATTCACATTAAAGACATCATTAGTTGTTTCATTTAGGCTGCGGCCTTTTTTTTTTTTTTGGTGGCTGGCCAGTACGGGGCTTCAAACTCTTGACCTTGGTGTTACAAGGTGGCACTTGAACCAACTGAGCTAATAACTGGTCAGCCTAGGCTGCAACTTTATAACAGATGAAGTTAAACAAAATTGGTTTGTTTTTTTTTTTTGTCCTTTTTGACACCGGCCACACCGCGCTTAGCCAGTGAGCACTGTGAGCGCACCGGTCATCCCTATATGGGATCCGAACCCATGGCAGGAGCGCTGCTGCGCTCCCAGCGCCGCACTCTCCTGAGTGCGCCACGGGCTCGGCCCAACAAAACTGTTCTTAATGAAAGTAATAAGATAGGACAAATAAATTTGTGGATAAATACCAATCCTCATAAAGTCTCAAAATGCACAGTAAAATGTCAAAGGTCTAGATATGCTGCTGTAAAGAAACAGCTTAATTCATTTAATACAGTGGTTTTCAAAGTTACCTGAGTAAAAAAAAAAGTTCTCAAAGAAGTCTAGGAAAATCCTGTGGAACACTGTCCTTTGGAATATTATCTCAGGAAGTGATACCACAGACCAGGTTCTCTTGTTACCTGTTCGTTTGGTAATTCGGAGCAGCCGCCTTGTCCCCAGAGTGGCCTCAGGTTGAGGCTGGGAGCTGGTGCTGCTCTCTGGGCTCTGCTGCACCCTCAATGCCTTCTCCAGTTTAATTTCCTCCAGCGTCTTGATGTGCACTTCCTGCATAGACTTTGCTCTACCTGCAGGCTCCTCTGACTGTACTTTGTTGACAACTATGGGAGGCAAAACCACTGTTTTTTTAATTTCACTATCAGTTTTTAGCTTGATGCAAGTTGCATCCTTTTTGCTTTTTTGTCTCTCTGCTTCTTGCTGCCGATGTTTTTTTTCAGCTAGGACTTCAGAGAAAGTTTTGATTCGAATAGTGGAGGAGTTTCTTGTTCCTGAAGTAGAATCATCTGCTTTTGAAGGTACTTCTGTCTGGAGTTTAGTCTGTAATTCTCCACGTTTTTGACTGGCTCTTTCAAGAAGAATTTCTTCTAATGTCTTCACATGGATCTCGCCAACTTTATTAACCCTCTCTGTTTTCATGGGGGAAAAACATATCATTGTATTTAGAGTTCATCTCTTAATAACTGTGATCTCTCTATTCTTGGATCAGACCATCTAATAGAGAGGTATCATTTAGGCAGGCAATTAAAATGATCAAAAGTATAACATCAGTTTGAATTTCAATATTAGGTAACTGCATGTTTCAGGCAGTGACCCTCAAGGAAAACTTAGAAGGCAAAAATTTCTGATTTGTATTTCTATTCGGAAGCTTATTCCTGAGAAACTTGAAAGCCACTTACTAATTAAAGAAATCTGTCATTAAAAATCTTATCAATAAAAATAGCAATAAATTCTTCCACTCACTCATAGACATAAACATCTGCTAGGCACTGTACTAGAAATATAATGGTAAGCAAAATACAATCTCTGTCCACATGTAGTCTTCAGTCAACAGACCAAAAATTAAACAACAAAGTATGGTAATAATAACTGCTTTGATAAAGAAGTATAACGCTACAGGAACATATAGCAAGAATACTTACCTTTGTCTAGGAATTGGTTATGGGAAACTTTTCAGAGGAAGTGTATTTATAGGATGAAAGGAGGTAAAACAGGTGACAAGAGAGAAGAAAAATGGAAAAGGCCTAAGGACTGGCATGCAACTGAAGAGCTATTTTTAGTGATACGTTAATCATTTTACATCTGTTTAAAATAAAGAGCAAATTTCAGTTTACAGATAGGACTGTTCTAACTTCTGAAGGACTAAGAAAAGAAATAATGAAGTGATGTAGAATAAACAAGAATAGTTTGAATTTCTGAGACATAAAACAGATGTCCAAATTTATAGAAAAGTGGAAAAAAGAATAGTTTTAACTGTAGGGGTGAGACCTATTCTTTCCCAATAGAGCCAAAGGAAACTGCCAAACTTAGGTCAACTAGTATGAAAAGCAATGGTGGGCTCGGGATAACTCTAAGGGTAGAAATTTAAGGACTACCAATAGAACAGTTGGGCCAGTCAACCTTCTCCCTAAAAAGAAGACAGTCTGCCCAAAAAGAATACATTATGAGGATGTTAGAGGATGGAGAGAAGTAGAGCATGGAAATTCTAGGGTTTCACAAATGCCAAGGAGACAAAAAAGGGGGGAGGGGGAAGGAGGAAATAAACAAAGCTAGAAAAAGAAAAGTTACTCCCACTCTGACAATAAAGTCTTTAACTGTGGCAACTGCATGGGTCCCCAGCCTTCTAACCTGCAATCACAACAAGCTGCCTTTTAGTATAGCCTCCCCACTTAGCCAGAGATAAATCAAGTCTCGCAGTCAGGAGAGGGTACTTGGGAAAGAGGCCTCTTGAACCACAGAGGAAATCCAGGTCAGATACAACTATGGAAAAACAACATTAAAAATGAACAAAATAAAGAAAAGTGGTTAAGAAGCCAAAATAATATACACATACAAAGTTAAAAAAAAAAAATCATATTAGAAGCCCCAAAACAGCCTGAAATCAGGCTGTGAAAGGAGAAATCAGAGAACAAAAAAAGTTCTTGTAAAATAAAAACACAAGTGCCAAAATTAATTCACTAGTAGTACTGAATAATAAAAAAGATAAGGCTGGTCCAAAATCAGCCATCTAGAACAGGGTAGGCAAACGATAGTCCATGGGCCAAATCTGACCAATGCCTAATTTTGTAAATAAAGTTTTATTGAAACATGGTCAAAATAATTCATTTACATGTCACATATGGCTGCTTTCACACTACGATGGCAGAGTTGAGTAAATGCAACAGAGACTGTGGACCACAAAGCCTGACCCTTTACAGAAAAAACATTTGTCAATTTGTGACCTAGAAAACAAAGCTGAACAAAGCTCATAGACAGTGAGGCAAAAAACAAAGAGAGGGAAAATATAAAGACAAAGTCAAAAGACATATAGAGCATATGTCCCCAAATTCCAACATCTGTCTAAGAAGAATTTCATAAGAAGAAGACAAAAACAAAGGTAGGGAGGACATACTCAAAGAAATTAGAGGAATATTTTCTAGAACTAAAGAACACAAGTCCTCAGATTTAAAGGGCCCAGAATACTGGGCAGAATGAACAAAAATATCCATGTTTAGATCCACAATAGTGAAGCTGCAGCTACAGGGACAAATAAAGAGAAAATCCTAAAAATTTATGGAGAATAAATTCTGGTTGCCTACAAAAGAATAAGAATGTCCAATATTACACCCCCTTTTTATGATTAATATAAAAATCAGATAAGGATGGAATAAAAAAGGAAAAGTATAGGTTAACATCATTTGTAAATATAAATATAAAAATTAAAAATCCTACACAAAAAAGCATCAAAATGAATCCAGCAAGGCATTACAAACAATAGATGTTTGAGTATATGGATGTTCATCTTATTATTCCTTAAACTGTATCTATACATACACTTATGTAGTTATATCTCACAATTGAAAAAAGAGAACCACAAAGAACAAAAAACATAAGTCCTAACTAACTTAACTGCAATAAGTAAATCAGAGAAAAAGCAGACTCTTATGGCAAGAAAAAAATATTAGAACTTGGTCTTAGAATTTACTTACCTGTTGCCTCCTCATTGTTTGGAACAGCTGACATGCCTAATCGCTCCTTCAGAGACTTGGATACTAGAACTGTAAAATGAATTTCAAAAGCCAAAAGTTGAGACTTCTTATAGGTCAAATATCTTTTTCAAAGTCCACAAATTAGGCTATACTTCTCTTCTAATGCATATGTTTAAAAAAAAAAAAAAAATCTCTCAAGGTCTTAAATTTTCCTTCTCCACAGAACTGATTTATGTGAATCATGGATTCCCTAGAGCATTCCGGAAAGCTTTTTTTTAAAAAAAAAAAAAAATCTCTCAAGGTCTTAAATTTTCCTTCTCCACAGAACTGATTTATGTGAATCATGGATTCCCTAGAGCATTCCGGAAAGCTTTTTTTTTTTTCTCCACAGAACTGATTTATGTGAATCATGGATTCCCTAGAGCATTCCGGAAAGCTTTTTTTTAAAAAAAAAAAAAAAAAAAAACCTTTTTAGATCTAAAAAGCAAAAACTACTGAATTCAGGGAAATAATTTTGTTACTACACAACCTTCTGAAATCTTATTGGCATCAAAAGGTTTTTTCCCCCCTAAATCTATTTGAAATATGCTCTTTAGTTTACAAGAATCATCAATATGACTGATAGGCAAGGGGGAAGGGAATCTGGCAAAATAAGAATAACTTCTGCCTGCTCTGAGAATGCAAGGAAGCCCCCAAACAGGAATGTCTACTCATAAAAGCTTCTTGGGTCAGAAGAAAAGTGAAAAGCTTTTTATCTTCAAGAAAAGTTAAAACTAAACACAATAAGAAAAAACACCTATTCTTTAGTAATTAATCCCAATGTTTCATTGCAAGTCATATAAGGGGGAGAAAAGAACCCAATTCTTAACTTCTTTCTCTCCTTCAACTATAAACCATTCTAACTCCCAAACATCTAATGACTTAGTCCACATCTCTCCACATCAACTTCTAAAACACTAAATCTATGCCACTACCTCTTCTTTGGATTATCTGAACAGGCTGCTAACTTAAATCCCAACCAGCACACTTGTCCCCTTCTTATCTTTCTCCATATTGCAGGCAAGGTAATGATTCTAAAATGCAAATGTGAGCCCTTGATCCCTACTTAAACTGTTTCAATGGTTTGTTAATACCTTAGGACAAGCCCAAACTCTCTAACATGACTCAAATGATCCCAGTTCCTCCTTCCTGTCTAGTCACCATGCTCTTCACTCCAATTCTATGTTTCAGCCATACTCAGGTCCACGAGCACATCATGCATTCTTAGCTCTGTGCCTTTGCAGGGATTACTTTCTCTGAACCTGGATCTCCAGCTTTAGTTGGCTAATTTTTTAACTGATGTTTCAGGTCTAAACTTCAACATCATTTCCTCTGTGAACCTTTCCCTAACAGATGGTAATATTAGGTGCCCATCCTATGTGTTACCATAGCACCACATACTTTTTTCTCTCACAGAATTTATCACAATATTTATAAGTATTTCTACCTGCCATTATATTACAAGCTTCTCAGGAGTGTGATGTTTATCTTGTTCAATGGTAACTACCCAGAATCTAGCACAGTAAGCACTCAAATGTTTGTTAAATGAATAAAACACACTAGAGATAATAACCTAATTTACCTGAACAAAAAATGACAAACCATAGTGGTTAACATTTCAAGAAACAAGTATATTAGAACAAAGGTACCTTTCTTTGGTGTTTTGTCAGTGCTAGCTTCTGGAGCTTCAACTTTCTTCCCTAACCTCTGTGCAAGACTACGTTTTAATGGAGGATCACTGTCACCACCTACAAACAGGAAACTTAGTTTAACATTTCAAGTCAATTCTCAGCAAGGTCAAGAAATATAAGCAACAGCAGACAACGTAGAATAATTCTATAAATTTTCTGCATTTATATGACGTGTTCTTTCACCAGTTTCCTTAAAGCTCAACGTTAGAGAAGGAGTAAAAATGTCCCAGAAAAAAGGAGTAGGAGAAGGGACAAAAAATTAGAATGCACAAACGAACATTTACCAAATAACTGACTAAAACTACAAATGGAGGATCATAATCCCTGGGTGAGGTTGAAGTTCAGAATTAGAAATGTGAAAAATCTTCATGTACCAAAAAAATCTTAACTGGCCAGTTCAGATTCATGGTTTTTCTTGTTTTTTTTTTTTTTTTTTAAAAGATGACCGGTAAGGGGATCTTAACCCTTGACGTGGGGTTTGTCAGCACCACGCTCAGCCAGTGAGCGAACCGGCCATCCCTATATGGGATCCGAACCCATGGCCTTGGTGTTATCAGCACCACACTCTCCCGAGTGAGCCACGGGCCGGCCCCCAGATTCATGTTAAATAAACCTGGGATGATAAAGAGGACAGTAAAAGAACTATAAAATTTCAAGTTTTCCTATGAAAGGAAGAACATATAGTCCTTCTCTTCACTTCCAGGTAGGAAATCTAAAGTTCTCAAAGATTCTGTATCTTAGCCAAGTCACCAACTAGGTAGTGATAGAGCCAAGATGTAACTTAAGTTTCCTGACTCCAGTTTATTGTATTACACTGTTTAATACAAGTTGTTTAAATGTCACCAGTTTTTAAAAACTGTTTTGGATTGCTTGACTGAAGTTATATTCTTTGTAGCATCTCATTTAAAACTTGAAAAGACCCTACACAGAGTATAATTTTCTCTTTCCTTACATTTATAATTTAAATATGAAACCAAAAATCACAAAGTTTACATGTATGCTGACATTAAAATAGCTTATTTGGTTTTTTGGGGTTTTTTTTTTTAACTTAAAATCTCTACATCAGTTTTATCAAAGGTGAAAGTCTCATTTTTTAGAAACCTGGCCTTTCTTATGCTCTAAATACATGATGAGATAACCAAATTGTGCTCTTAAAATCTAGAACTGGTATTGATTCTTGAAATACAGATAGAAGAGATTTCTAAAGATTACCTCATTTGTGTTCTCTTCTAAGCTTTCTTTTCAGAAATGATTGAATAATCTATAATGTAGTCATCTGAATATAACCTTGGGCAAGTAATTTAAACCTTTCTGACTCTGAGCTCAGTGCAGAAAATGTTAAACTCAGAGTAGAAATTGACAGTGACCCACAGCAAATCTCATATTAGATTTACTTCATTTATAGGCATAACTTAATCACTAACATTGTATTACTTATGGCAATAACTACATAATTGATTCAATAATACATTCACATTTTCTGACTGACACTTGAAATATTACTAAGTTCAGAACAGTTTTGAAGATAGGGCAGTGAGAATAGTATCAAAGAAAAGACAAAATGAAGATAAGGTTTCATTTTAAGCACATTTAAAACAGTATGAAGGAACCTCTGAAGTTAGAAAAGATTTTCGAAATTTTTTAGACACATTAGGGAAGGTACACAACAATTCAGTAATATTGTAAAGTAATTCCCTTAACATAAAATAGCACCAATAATTGAAGAACCCAAATTCTACTAAACAGACACTTTTTACCACTCTAAAAATCTCACATTTAAATTTGTCTAAAGAGTCTCTCTGAGCAGGATCAACTACTTCTCTTTCCCCAGCATAGCTGGGGCTCCTGGTATTCCTGCCAGTGTAAGAGAATAATCAGCATGTTTCTTCTTAAGGGCCACAGCTATAAGAGGCTGAAAAATACAATCCTTTGAAGAAAAGCCAACCAAGTAAAGAAGACAGCCTCATAAAGAAAAATAAAAAATAAGCTTCCAACTTCAAAACTTATAGAAGAACTTGCATCAGTTTTGATATGTAAATCTTTTAATTAAACTTTTTATTTTGAGATAACTGCAATAAATAAATAGATAGAGAGATAAATAAATAAATAAATAAATTGCCTAAAGAAACAGAGGAATTCTTTACTGTTTTTTAAACCTAGTACATTCTAAAAACTTGGTCATGATCATAAATCTAAATTGTAACACTAAATTTCTGTAACTTCAATAAAAGGTATAATGTATACATGAAAAAACATGAGGAAATTTTCTAAGTGCTTTACCCAAGAATACAGGAGGACAGGCAATACTGACAGGATAAATGTATAAATGGAGTTTGGAGAAGGTATCATGTTAATGCACAAACAAGCAGAAAACAAAAGATATGCATAAAACTTATCTCACCTACTGAGAATTTTCGTTTCCCCAATCTCTCGGTAAGACTCAATCTAACCAAGGGTTCTTCTGAAATGGCAAAAACAATTTCTTTACCATTAGCCAATCTTTCTGTATTCAGTAACTACTAATGGGTACAAATTATGTTCTGATATTAGTATGAGCTCACACAGAAGATCTCTCGAAAATCAGGTCTCAGTCTTAAGGAAGACTGTCGCATTAATAATTTAAACAGCCAAATGTACAGCCCAAATGGAAGTGATAGCACAGTACTAATTATTAAAAGTGGCCAAGCAGAAGGATACAGATCGTGTTCTTAACCAATTGGTTATAAAATCCAAGCTGTACTTTTGTTTATGCACTTTGAGAGGTTCAATGAAATCGTACACTATTCCAATGCTAATTCTCCTATATAACTTTCTTCGTCACCCCAGCAAGAATTGTGAGCTCTTTTTCTTCTGATTCTTTGTTGTTTGAATGGCACAAACATTTAAATATGTTTGTATACTGGGGCTGGCCAGTTAGCTCAGTTGCTTAGAGTACAGTGTTATAACACCAAGGTCAAGGGTTCAGATCCCCAAACCATTCAGCCACTAACATATATAAATATATATATGTATATTTTTTGTACACTATACTATCATTAAGTATTACTCGCTGTGTACTATAATTAATTACTGTGATATCCCTTATTAGGTTTAAAACTATTAAGTGAAAGGCTTTCACAATTTTCTTCAACTCAAAGGGTTCACCCATAATGGGAAATAAATAAATTTGCTGAATGTGTATAAACAGTAAATTTAAAAATTAAATATACATAAATGTGAGGGCTGCCTGAATAAGACTTTCAACATTTTAACTAGTACAGTCAAATGCACAAACTTTTCTTTTCATCCATATTCAATCAACAGACTAATGTCTTCCTGCAAGTCCATCAAAGTAAAAAATCACCCACGGATTTTGCATTCCCAATTATATAAAAGTAGAAGCCTGACAATTCTAAGACCTACCTATACCTTACCTTGTTTGCTGGACAGAGTCACTGTCCTCACCACAGTCCGGACATTCTCCTTTTCAGGACCTGGAATGGGCTGAGGTTGGAGTAAAAGACTGGCAACTCCTGAAGAACCCTCTGAATAAGGCAAGTCAAAAAACAGCAAATAATTTATGGAAAATAAAGCTTTCTCAAGTCAAGAAATTTTGTTTTTGTGACCAGTTAAGTCCAATACACACCACTATATGACTACAAGTCAATCAGCCTTTCTGCATTTGTTTGCCTACAGCGAAATGGGGTAGTGGTAGGGAGAGCCTTTGGCACAATGTGAAAATAAAATATAAAATTGTTTTGAGCGGCTTAGGCACTCAACCTACTTTTATTTACAGTAAGTCTGACACTATCCTAAAGTTAACCCCAGAAGTACACTAGCCAGCATGTGTGTCAATTCACCCTTTTCCATCTAAACTTAATCATCTGCAAAATATAACTCCAAGTTTCCTATAGAACAAGCTTTAATGAGGGTTCTTAGAACCAGTCATTTGTCTCTATATATACTACATTTCACACTATATAATTTTTAGGATTGGAAATGTTTATTAACCAGGTTAAGGCAAGCTCCAGAAGAAAATCCTAGCAGTTCTTGAGGAAGAACTCATACTACAAAATGAACATTTTTCTTTCAATATGGTTCTTATATAGTGTTCTTTAGAGTTGTATCTCCCAAGATATGTAAGTTCTTTCAGGTTCTTTATTATATGTGCCTAGCTCTGAACAGCTCTGAAACACAGCTGCAATGAATTAAAAAAGCAATCATGATTTATTTATTTATTTATTTTTTCCTAAAAGATGACCAGTAAGGGGATCTTAACCCTTGACTTGGTATTGTCGGCACCATGCTCTCTAAAGTGAGCTAACCGGCCATCCCTATATAGGGATCTGAACCCTTGGCCTTGGTGTTATCAGCACCACATTCTCTCAAGTGAGCCATGGGCTGGCCCTGCAATCATAATTTAAATAAGGTTGTATTTTACAAGCCACGGAAATCAAAACCTATTTGCTCATTATGGCTGTTGCCTCCAGAGGTGTCCTTATTCTTATTCTCTAGCAACACACAACCATCCTTGCCAAAATTTGTGACGACTTACCACCTTGCTTCTTGGATTTTTCCTTCATTTTCTTTGATTTAATTTCCTCAAGAGTTTTTATTCCAAAATTCAAACATTCACCTAAGAAACCCAAATAGAAATCACATAAGGAACTTTTTCACCTTTGCATTTTATCTGTACACACCAGGCATTCAAACATTTTTTGAATATCAAGAGAAAGCATGTGTAAGTATATGTGTGTAGTATGAGCGAGGAAAGAGGTCAGAGGAAGAGATCAATGATTGTGAACTAAATTTCAAAGGTAGTTAAAATATTTTGGACACGTCCAATAGTGCCGTAAAATTTAGCACCAATATAGCACACTCTTACCTTGCTTTAAATTGACCCCAGGTTTTCGAGCAGAAGCCACTCGTAATCCATTATGAATTTCAGGAGTTGGCTGCAGGGTAGGTATTTTGGTCTCATCACCTTCCTCAGAAAACTGATCTATATGCCAACATTTAAGGCAAATTCACAATTAAAAACAGGTCTAGAACTTTAATTCTGATTCTGATTCACTACGTGAACCTGTCTTAAAGAAAGAACTAAAACTTACCATCATCATCTTCATCATCATCTGCAGCATTGATTACAACAGGTGGATGCGTGGGGCTAGGAACATTTTCAGAACTTTCTACTTTCATAACACTCCGCAGCTGAGGGGAGGGATTAGACTGGACAGACAATTTATTCTGTTGAACTGTGAGCTGGCTAGACTTCACTTCCTCTTCTGGTGATTCAGGCACAGTGGGCAACACAGCTAAAAATACAAAATCAGTCACAAATTAAAAACAGAAGATACAGTAATCCCAACTCATCAAAAATCTGTCCATCTATAATAAATGTGGAGCATTTTCCTTATGTCTATTTACCTGATTTTCCCATTTAAGTCTGAACTCACAGGGAGGTAAAATGTGCTTTAATAACTCTTCACTGTAAATAAACACAGTCAAAGGCACTCAAAACATAGAACAGAAGGCTAAATGCTTAGTACCTACTTGCAAATTCTAGACATTTAATTTTAATATTGAAATTCTAGGCTTTTTGCTAAAAAAAAAATAACTCTTAAAAGATAGCAGATAACATTATTTCATCCAAACCAGAAAGCAGTGAGCCTACTCTCTTCCTTTAGAGGTGAAAAGATGTAGCCAACAAATTTTAATCACATAGCAGATGTGGCTTTTAAATGGCTAATAATTCCACTAGTGAATTACTCTGAAAGGGACTTTGGAAATAAATACTAGCTTTTTGTAGAGTGTAAGTTTTATTTTAAAAAACAGCCTAGAGCAGGGTTGGCAAATTTTTTCTATAAAGAGCCAGAGAGTTAATATTTTAGGCTTTGTGGGCCATACGGTCTCTGTCTCAACTACTCAACACTGCAGTAGTAACATAAAACTGGACATAGAAAATATGTAAATAAATGAGCACGGCTACATTCCAATAAAACTTTATTTTATGAAACAGGTGGATGGCCAGATTTATCAACTCCTGCCTTGGAGAATCAAGTTTCTTCTGAAAACCTGTATGGGTCTAAGGAAATGGGAAATGAAATAAGTTATAGTAATCTAAACTGGCATGCCAAGAAACATTTGGTTATATGACCATGTACAAATCATTTAATGAGATTTAGTTCTCTCATCAGTAAAGTGGAAATAATACTGCCCTCTTACGAGACTGCATGAAAGAAGGCAATGTATAAAAAGTACTTTAATAATAACATTTAACAGTAAATATTCTTTTAAAATTAAAAACTGATCTCACTTTTGCTTGGAGGTAGGAAAAGGCCATCAACATAACGCCCTCTGTTGTGATGGAAAGCACAGTTTAGTTTTTGACATCCCAGTGGCTGGTTTTCCCAATAACAAGGAATTTCACTGCGTTTTTTCTGTAAGAAGGAAAAACACATTGTTTTCAAATAAAAGCTGAAGTGAGAACTGTATTATTTGATAATTTGTTTTCAAAATTCACGTAGATCTCAAAAATCTGAGGCAAATGAGACAATTTGCTAAAAAGCAGAAGAGAGGATGCAGAAAGAGACATACTTTAGGCATGGTAGAGAGATGAAGGGAGCACTTTATCTGCTATTCTTTCCTCCTTACAAGCATCCTGGAACCCCTAAATGTCTACACATAATTTAGAGAAGAAGGACAGATATAGTAGTTAAGATTATGGAATCAAGGATAACAGGGTTTGAATCTCTATTATGCTACTTATTGGCCATGTGACCTCGAACAACTTAATGCCTCTAAGCCTCACTTTCCTTAGCTATAAAATAGTAATGATAGTAGCTATCTAATTGGTTTCTTATGAAGAATAAATAACATATATGAAGCACTCAGCACATAGAACAGACTCAATAAACTGCAGCTATTATTTGAATCTGAGAGCCCAAGGCTTTGAGAAAAGTTTTCCCATTTTGACTTCTCAAAAGATGCACACGTAACACACTAAGGATGGTTTGTATCCTTCCCAAGCTATCTCACTCTTATAAAGGAGAATGGGAAAAAAAAGAATACTCGCACACCTAGAATAAACTGCTGGATCATAGGATACATGTTCAAGAGAAATATATACATTACATAGTTTTCCAAAAGATGTGCATAAGGAATGTTGAAAGCAACACTATTTGAAATAGCAGCAGAATTTTGCAAACAACTCAAATGTACTTCAATACTAGAATAGATAAATAACATTGTAGTGTACAATAGGATGCCATCCAGTAATGAGAAGGAATACGCACTGCTACACTTAACACCACAGATGTAGAATGAAAGAAGCGAGACACAAAACAGCACATCCTGTATGATTCCATTTATGTAAAGATAAAAATGTCAAGTTCTCTACAGTAGTATAGACAGGATGGTGATTAGCTTTGTGGGTGTTATTAGTGACAATGAAGGGATGAAGGGGGAAGAATGCTGTTAGCACTGTATTTCTTGAACTGGGGTAGCACTGTATTTTTTGAACTGGGGTACTGGTCAGGTAAGTATATTCACTTTGTGAAAACTGTTCAAGTTATAAGATTATGATTTGGGCACTTTTCTATACATAGTTTAATAAATAGTCCAATAAAGGAAAAAGCACTTCTGGAGAGTAACTAACCTCTGATTAATACACTGCATTGTGTTGGATCTCTCATCATAATAAGCAGCCTAAGATTTAAAAACCCAGGAAAAAACAGCAGCATTACTTCAGATATTTAAATATATGGAGGAGAGAAACAGGGAAACAATGACCTTTACAAAAAGATCCTTAAATGTATCAAGAAGGGCAAAGAGCAAAATCTACTAAACAGAGAGACTGATAAGCATAACACATTGGGTTAGAAGAGATGTGGAACAATCAGGCGGTCCCATACACTGCTAATTGAAGTGTAAATTAGTTAAACATCTTCGAACAGTGATTTGGCAAAAACTATGTTTTAAAAAACTTATGAGTTTATTGCTACATACGTGATTATCTGTTTTTAAAAAGTGTAGACTTCTGGTCAAGATGGAGGAACAGACGGTCCTCAGAGTCATTCTCTCCCACAAATCAACTAATTTACAACTATTAAAAAGCAACGACAGCCAAACTGGGGCTGCTAGAGCTCAGGGGAAGAGGAGAGACCTACAGAGTGCATGAAGGCAGGAGAAGCCATGATGAGAGGAAAAAAGACCTCTCCAACTGTTTCAAGCCTTGGCTGCTTCCAGGCTGGAGCTGCTGAGTGCATGGAGCATGAGCCGGCAAAAGCCACAACTGTGCCCTTCGGATGAAGATGCACGGAGGTGGCATGGGAGAAGAGGGCCCTCGTGGCCCCCAGGCCAGCAAGACTACTAACAGGATTCCCATGGACCCACATAGGAGCAAGGAGCCACAACAACTGAAAAAGGAGCCACTCAGAGGCCGGTGAGTCATCGCAAGGGACCAGCATACAGCTCGTCCCATAGGAAGTGTTTGCAGCACCGACGGTGGGGGAGACAGGCCCACCGGGAGAACACTGGGACACAGCAAGGACAGCTGATCTGCCCCCAATCAGCATAGGACCACTCAGAGAAGACTGGTCAGGAATACAGAATTGCATGGGGTGCAGTTTGATAAAAGATTCAGGCCCAGACCAGTGTTTCTACACAACACAGGTGCACTGGATTTTACTAAAACTGGAAGTCCCATAAAGACAACCATTAAAACCCGAGCTGCACAAAAAGCCTTCCCCAAGGAATCAACAGCAAAGCAGCAATCTAGCTCAACCACAGAGCTCAAGTACTGGTCCCCACAGGAATTTCCGCCATTTTAGAAGTAAGCAAAGGACAACAAATGAGTTCCAGGGCAGAATTTAAGCAGTGGGAACAGCAAATAATCCAACACAAAACTGAAAGAAGAAACAGAGTACTCAAACCCAGAGACAAAGTTTGATATTAACTAGTAAAGGTCTCATTTCGCCAAAGAACACCTAAAACAACTAGAAGGACCAGAAGTCCCCTGGGCTACTGAGCCAAAAAGGGCGGACAACCAGGCACACCACCAGTGCCACAGGGCCCGCCTGGGGTCCTGAGGTATGGGGCCGGAAACCAGACCCCCTTCAACAACCAGGCACACCACCATTGCCACCACCAACTAGGTAAGGAGCATGCTAAAAACATCACCTCCATGTGGGTGGCCCACCACAGCCACCACAGTAACCACAGCTGCCGCGAAAGCAGCTAGACACCACAACCACTGTGCAGATGGTCTGCCAGACACTGGAGTGCACTGACACAAGAAAAGTCACCAGCAGAGACCAAAGAAAAGACGAGGATATCTATCTCCACAAAGCTCATTCCAGAGGGACAGAAGAAGCATCTGCTCTACAATAATATTGGGGGACCTGAACACACCTTTCAGCATCAGACAGATCATCTAGGCAACAAATCAACAGAGTAACTATTACTCTTTCAGAAGGAGAGAAGAAATCTAGGGTAAATGTGGCAGCGCGGGGCAGGAGGCATAAACTATAAGTATGATTTACAACAATATATATGCTAGTAATATTGATTTGATCAACATATGTCAATGTGAACCCCCAAAATATGTATAATCAATTATGATTCAATTAAAAAAAAGTACAGCAAATACCTCTGCCTTTTAAATAACCAGATTGAATTTATTAGTCCTCTACCATACCCAAAAGGTAGCTGTAATAGCTACCATCATTTTTCAGACAGCAATAACAATTAATCATTTCTTCCTTAAGGCAGAACCTAATGCCAATCTTTCTTGCTCCTGGGTCTGTCTTTGCTTAAGCTTTTACTTCTTTCCTATAAGCAAATTTTCAAACTACCGAATGGCTTCTGTAATAGTACCCTCTAAATACAGGAGTCACAACACATTTATTTGATGTGTTTAATACACTTATCAAATTTTGTTCTTAATTGAAAAGTAATATATGAGCAATAAAGACAACTTGGAAAATGGAAATAAATGCCTGTTATGCTATTACCCAAAGAGAATCACTTATTTTGGCACAGAATTCTTTTTACTTAAAAAAGAAATCATTAATGTATACACATAAAAGTATTCCATATAAATCTGGACATTTTTCATCTAGCAACATATCTTCCTACATGATTATTTAAATTTTTAGTAGCAATATAGCACATGGTCCAAAGATACACAACTGGTTCTCATTATTTACAGTAGCACCCAGCACTCCATTATATGAAATGTAGCAAAATTTATTTTAAATGAAGAACTGTTAAGTTGTTCCCACTATCTTACTATTACAAATTATGCTGCGATTAATAATTCTGCATGTATTTTGTACATAAGTACATATGAGTCAAAGGTATAAGCATTTAGTTCTTTTGAGAGATTCAGCCAAATAAACCTCTATGCAGAGAAGAGTTAAAATAGTAGCTCTAAGATTGCTATCCTTAGAAAGGCCTACTTGCAAGGTTGGCCTTTGGCTGGCATCTGGGAAAGTGGCTCTTGGAATGTTCCCAGTCAGTTAACTGATAAGGCAAGAGGGGAGAGGCTCACTGTGCCTAGACTGTGCAAACAATATGGTTTATGCTGAATATCTGCCTTCCTTCTGGGAGTCAGTAACTTTGGTACATGTCAGGTAGAAGGTGCCCACATAACTAGCCCCAACAAAAACCTTGGACGCTGAGTCTCTGAGGGACTTCCCACTGGAGGGAATTAGCACAAAGAAACCCGCACAAACTCCTCCTGTGTCATTTTCTCTTATGATCCAACAGTGTATCCTTACTCTATTGCTGTAATAAATCTTAGCTGTGAGTACATTCTAGAGAATCTCTAAACGAAGAGGTGTTCTTAGAGACCCTGACACACCCTCCATAGGAGTTGTGCCAATTTACACTCCACCACCAATGTTACAACATGACTTTTCAAAATTTGCAGTCTTTCTCAATTTATTTAGTGAATTCCTTGCTATTTGCAAGACAGGCAGCTTAGAATGTAGTTAAGAAACTAGAAATCTGGAACCAGTCTGGAATAGTGATATGACCCCCAGGAATACAAACTGCGTATTTAGTCTCTTCTTTTCCCATCCCCTTCTTAACAATTCAGTCTGAAATCATTAGATGGGACTGAGGGAGGTAGGCATTCGTCTGTAGGAGAGAAGGGCTTGGTGGCCCAGAGCAGGGTATTGGAGCCTAAGATGACAAAGGTGTCCATACGATTAGTCGGAATCCATGAGGGGTTAGGAGGACATGTGCAGGAGGGTGGCCTAACAAGTGTTGGAGCCTGAGCAGGGTGAGCAAAGCTTCTGTGCAGAAGGGATCCCAATGTAGGGTGAGGAGGGTGTACTCATGCAGGGTCAGCCTCGAATGGGCATCAAAGGCCAAGCACGATGAGGAAGGCAGGGTTTTCCTGAAGGAACCTGGTACAGTGTCACAGAACGAGCAGGGTGAGGGGAGTATGTCACTTAAGAAAGCTGCCCAGCACAGAGAATCAGAGCCCAAGGGTGTGAAAAGAGCAAACACTGTGGATGTTGGGGTCCAAGCAGGGTGAGGAAGGGGTTCCTACTGTGGAGAAAGGAGGGAGGCCTGACACAGGGTATTGGAGTCAAAATAAGGTGAGAAAGGTGTCCTTGTGGAGGCAGTGTCTCATGTGATGTCAGAGCCTGAAAGGAAGGAAGGAAGAGGCTGTGATACAATATTGGTTTACCTACTAGGGGACTGATCAAATAAGTCAAAGTATTAAGGATAATGGGAACCAAGTTTCTCGCTTTTAGAGAAGAGAGTTCCAGGTATGGAAAAGGAGAAGCCTAGGCTAAACCCTGTGTTATTGGTGACCTGGAAGCGTCTATGTGAACTTATGATTTTCAAGACACAAAGTAATAAATGTATATACATTTATATATTCCCTAGCTCTATCCACTGAGAGGACCTGAAGCAATGACACACAAGGAGCAGCCCAAATCTTAGTTGCTATATACCATTCTTCACTAAAAAGAACCAGGGCACCTTGGACAAATGGCTGATTCCAGGCTGGAGTTTAGGAAAAGTACAGGCTGAGCCTAAAAAATCTTATTTGGCCAAAAAGCAAAAGAGGTGCTCAAAGAATGACAGAAAATCAAGACACAAAAATCAGCTTGAAGGGTTTCTATGCCAAATCTAGGTCAATTTGAGCATAAAAAATAAGTAATGATAGAAATAGAGAACAACACATTAAACAAAATAGGAAACCATGAGCTCACACTAATACAAATAAGTAACTGGAAAAGAATTGAAAGTTTGATGAGAAATGGGATATTCACAGGGTCTCAAAGTATCTCTCCATAAAACACTTAACTACAAAAAGAAAAACTTTATAGTGAAACAATCTGGCAGATACCATCTTAATCAACTGATCCATGTTAATTAACATCACCAGTGATGGGAAAATTAAAATTGTATGCCACATGATATACAATGAAAGAATAACACTCCTGTAATATTCCTGCTAAAGATACATTTACTTAATTTAGTAAAAAGAAAATACAAACAACCCAAATTGAGAGACATTCTGCAAAATAACCGGCCTATAATTACCAAAAGTGTTAAGGCCAATGAAGGCAAGGAAGACTGAGCAACTGCTCTCAACTGAAGGAGACTAAAGAACCATGACAACCATATGCAACATTTGTACGTCAACCTGTTCCTTCTACAATAAAGTATAATATTGGAACAACTGGCAAAACTTGAATAGGATCTGAGGATTAAATAGAACTAATATAGATGTTAATTTTCTAACTTTAATGGTTGTATTATGAGTATGTAGAAGAATGTACTTCTTCGTTTTAGGAAATCTCATAAAGTACCTAGAGGTGATAGGGAATGTCAGTAATTTACTCCCAAATGGCTTCGAAAATTTTTTTTTACTGTACTTACAACTTTTCTCTAAGTTTACAATTGTTTTAAAACAAAAAAGAAATACAGATAAATATTCTTGAAATATACATATATTTTTAAAGCTTAGCTATATTACCAAACTGCCATCCAGAAAAATTATACCACCCTGTACCAGGCAGCCACCAAAAAAATATATATATATACCAATTCTTGCTCCATAACATTTAGATGTAGGTTGAGCATCCTTTTTTTTTTTTTTTGACCGGTAAGGGGATCGCAACCCTCGGCACGGAGTGGTCTGCACCATGCTCAGCCAGTGAGCACACCGGCCATCCCTATACAGGATCCGAACCCGCGGCCTTGGCGCTACCAGCGCTGCACTCTCCTGAGTGAGCCATGGAGCCAGCCTAGGTTGAGCATTCCTAATCTGAAAATCCAAAATTAGAAATGCTCCAAACCCAAAACTTTTTGCATGCCGACATGCTACTCAAAGGAAATGCTCACTGGAACATTCCAGATTTCCAATTTTCAGATAAGGATGCTCAAACTGGTATATATTCTGCAAGTATTCCAAAATCCAAAAAAATCCGAAACCTGTAATATTTCTGGTCCCAAGCATTTCAGAAATGGAATATTCAATCTGTATTAAATAAGCATTAATAATGTTAGAAATTTCACTGGATCATTAAATAAATTAACTCACATTATAATAAATATATATTAATATAACACAAAATGTCACTTTTGTCCCTATACTTTTTATTAGCCCACCATGACCCCAGACTACTTATTATGATAATGCAAACTGAAAACTTACATCAATCTCCATGTGCCTAAACCTGCACACCTGTCGAAAACAGCGCCCTTCTTGCCATAATGTGCAAACAGTTTCATTTCCTAGTGCCGCTTCACAGTGACGGAATGGGCAGCTGTCACCCTTTAAGCAAAAAGAGAACACAGAAAAGAACTGTGTTATATCCCAGGTAAAACAGCCATAACAAAGAGTTTTCTGGAATCTAGACAAGCACGAATGAGTAGGGAAAAATAGGCAAGGTAGAAAACAACCGAGATGGGATGACAAGAACATCTGAAGGCAACAAATTTATAGTTTCCTATAACCTATTTCTTGACAGTACCCTTCATCTGATCTGACAACATGAGTGACACAAGCTGAGATATGAGGTTGAAAGAAATAAGAAAGAATGTTAGGTACTCTTTAAAAATATATTTCACAGTTCATTTTCAAAACTCTTTCATACATCCTGACTTGTATGATTCTAGCTTTTGGTAGAAAAGTTAATAGATTATGATTTAAGTATAATGAATTAATACAATTATGCTTCAGTATATACTTTATAAAATGGTAATATTTGAAACAAAATGTTACTGTTGTGCAAACTGCTATATGTAAGATAGATAAAATTCTGAGTTTTGCTCAAAACTGACCATTTAAACACAGCACCAGGATGGCTTAAGAAAAAATTTTTGTAACATATAAATTTACAGAATTGGTCTTATGACTAATGAAAACAGCAGATACCTAAATAGAACTGCAAAAGAATCAAGCAGAAAAACAGGAAGTTTTGACAAAGATAAAGCAAAAAGGATGCAAAAGCATATTTAGAAAGATGGCTTTATATTCTTAGTACTCAGCAGGAAATCTAGAAGAAGTCAAATTCAACCCATGACAGTTTCTACAAGTATAATACAATCCGCCCACTCCTTTAATACAAAGTATATAAAGTCAAAGTTGACAAGCCATAGATCAAAGAGCCCCAATTCCAAAGGTACTCTGAACAGATTACAGTTGTCCCTCATTATCTGTGGGGGACTGGTTCCAAGAAGATTCCTCTGAATACCAAAATCCTTGGATGCTTAAGTCCCTTATATAAAATGGCATAGTATTTGCATATAACTTATGCAATCTTCTTGTATATTTTAAATCATCTCTAGATTACTTATAATACAATGTAGGTGCTATGTAAAAGTTGTTACACTGTTTTTTTTTATTTGCATTATTTTTTACTGTATGGTTTTTCTTTTTGGCGGCTGGCTGGTACAGGGATCAAACCCTGGACCTTGGGGTCAGCACCATACTCTAACCAACTGAGCTAACCAGCCACCCCTTATTATTGTATTGTTACTTTTTGTTTCTTTTTTTCCTGAATATTTTTGATCCACAGTTGGCTGAATCCGAGGATGTGGAACCTGCAGATATGAAGGGCTGACTGTAATACTGAACACTGAATGATGACTATATGCCACGGGCCTTTTCACTTTTGTAGAACATGGGGAAATTACAGTTATATATAAATGAACAGAAAAAAACGAACAATGAATTCTCTTTAGTATGCTATCTTTTACTAAAAAACTGACAGCAGATAATAAACAGATGAGCAAAACAAAACATAAAAACAGCTTAGGATGTTGGGAAAACCTTATCCAATTTTATTAAGGAAACTATAGAAAGAACTGATGTACAAATGCCAATTCTTACTTTGGTACATGTAGAATAGAAAAAAAAATAGCAGTCTTCTCCTTGATTAGGCATGCTGGGTAGATTCTTAGATCAGAAGTAGCTTCTTGAAACAGGCCACTATTTCCTCAAGGCAAGGACCAGCTCCAAGACTTCTTGAAATGGGTTTAATCTTCTAAATAGACAACTCAATCACAGAAAATGTAATCCTAAAATGAGGAAACAAGGATTTAAAGTATTTCAGGTAAATTCTTCCAACCTCCTCCTCCAAATCACCTTGATTAATAAGATCACTTTATTAAAACCATATTTTAATTATATTAACATGTGCTTGCTTATAAAGAGCCTTGTAAACACCCTGATTGTACATTCCCATCTACAATGTAAAATTCTGTTAAGGATAGCCATGCCCTTCTTTTGCTTCTTACACTGCTTTAGCACAAAATTAAATAAGCATCCATAACTAAACTAATGATCTACATTTTGGATTATTAACAGGACTTAGATTATTTTTACACAAGATCCTTGCTAAATCTACATATCTGAGAAACTAGATTTTTTTCTTCTAAGTGAAATGTCTAAATATTTTCACAAGCATTTTTGGTATTTCAAAAGTATGCAATTACAACTACACAGGAAAACCCTGTTTAGCTAGAATAATTGGTGAAATGATTAACTTTGAAAACATCTCTGCAGGGGCTAGCCAGTTAGCTCAAGTAGTTAGAGTGGGGGTGTTATAACACCAAGGGCAAGGAAGGGTTCAGATCCCCATACCAGCCAGCCTCTGAAAAAAGAAAAAAAGAAAGAAAACATCTGCGGTGCTAGCTTGTATAATGAAGATGGCTAAAAAGTTGAACATCAATTACAAACAAGGGACCACAGAAATTTCCGGGCTCTTCCCATAAAATAATGATTCAACAAAACAACCAACACTCTTTTCCCCTAGTCTCTATCATACCCTGATCTCCACACTAAAGTGTCCAAGAAAGAATCTACAAAAGCAAAAACATGTAACAAGAACACTTATGAGAGTTATGGAAGGGGTTTCTACAAACTCATACACCCAAAGGTCAAGTCTCAGAAACACTGATCTACAACTTGAAATCAATTAAACCAAATTCGATCATACCTCCCACTAATAATTTCTAACCCAAGAATAATACACCATGATGAAAACCAACTTTGAAGTCAACAACCTAGGTTAGGAGAAAAGTCTGCAACTAAACATGTACCAAAATCTTCAAAATTTACACATCCTATGACCCAACAATTCCTTTTCTACAGTTTACCCTAAGGTAAAAATGCCGGACAAATATTCAAAGTAATGCACAAAAAGTTCCTCACAATCTTGTTTTCTAATAATGAAATAACACCCAGAAACTTAAGGGCTCAAAAACTGAAGACTGTTGTTTTTTTTTTTAAAAAATGACCGG